GGTGGGTGAAGCAGCTGAGGCCCACTGGCCTCATTGGAAGCAGCTGAGGCTCACTGGCCTCACCAGGTGAATACTTTCACCTCTGGTGAGGATGTGAATGGCTTCTTAGTTTTTTTTACAAAAGTTTATTGGCATAAAATGCACACACCATACAATGCCACGGTTTAAATATGTTGAAGAGTCGTATAGTCACCACCATAATCAAAGTTAGAACCGCTTCTCTACTCTATGCCCATTGTTATTCACTCCCCATTACCCCACCTCACTCCCCATTACCGCCCCCCACCCCGTCATCACCTTAAGGAGCTGCCCCTCTAGTCATTGTTCCTATGGGTCTCCTGTAACGAAAACCAAACAGGAAAACCCCAGCAACAAGAAAATAAAACCGAGCGTCTCAATCCAAAAGAAATCAGAAGAGAGTAGAAACTGGAAGAAATTAAAGGTGGGTCAAAAGGGAAAACACAGGGTAAGATGTGAACTTTTAACCTGACTCCATCTGCAGGAACCCACTTCCCGAGACTGTCAGAGGGCAAGGGGTTCACATCCCTGGTCAAGGTCTAGGGAGCTCAAGGGAGGCCGAGGCTGCGAGCGGACTCTCCCACGGAGCGGCTGGTGGGCTCAAACCACCGACCTTCCAGCCAGCTGCGTCACCGAGGTGCCACCAGGTTCCTTTGTGTAAGTGTGAGGGGGGGGAGGTTAAAAGAGGGTGCATCTGGCGCCCGAGGATCGGGTGGGTGTGGGAGATGGGAGTGAGGGGGGAGAGAAAGGATGGTGTCTGGGTGGGGTGGGCACACGTCTCCCTTCTTTGCGCCCATCACACCCTCCCTGCGCATGCTCTTCCCTCTCCCCTGCATTTGGAGGAGCTCTGGAAGGAACACGCACGCTGTTCGGACATTGCTGCTTGAGCCTGCTTCTTCTCTGTCTCTCTTCTGCTTACAAGGGATGGTGGCTCAAAGCCCAGCAAGCAGCACACCGATAGAACCCAACATCCTGACCAACGTCTGGGCCACTGCATGAAGGGGTCACAGACGGGCAGACCTCCGATTCCGACACCATCCCTGGACCCCACTCATTGGATGCTTAGGTGGCAGCAAAATAAAGGGGTGGGGTCAGCCCAGGGGCAAGAAGGAGCAGGGCAGATGCCCATCGACCACGGGAGGGGGGAGTGCACAGCCAACAGCAGGCTCGGCCTCTCTGGGGCCATCCGGTTCCCGTGGGCAGTGGTCATGGCCAACCGTGAAGTGAAAGGGCAATGTGGCCAACAGATAACGTTGGGGTGGAGCGAGCCGAGCGGTTAACTGGGCGCTTGCGTGTGCCCGATGAAGACAGAGCAGAATGGGTGGATTTGAATCGCGGGGCGCATCAGGAGAGCCATGGACTGCCCAAGGAACAGACAAGTCTGTCTTGGAAGAAGTGCAGTCAACACGCTCCTGAGAAGCAAGGATGGGGAGAGACCAGTCCCTGGGGCAGGACCTCGTGGTTGGTCAAGTAGAGGGCCAGCGAAAAAGAGGAAGGCCCTCAAGCAGATGGATGGAGACAGTGGCTGCCACCAGGGGCTCAAACGTGAGCGGTGGGCGGGCAGTGTTTCGCTCTGTTGTACATCAGGCCACTGTGGGTTGGAACCGACTTGAGAGCCTCTAACAACAACAACAACAACAACAACATGGACCCAGGTAACGGACCCCAGAGACACAGTGGTTAAAGTACTTAGCTGCTAACCCAAAGGTTGGCGGTTTGAATCCACCAGCCCTCCTTCGGGAGAAAGAGGAGGCTGCCTGCTTCTACACAGACGGCAGCCTTGGAAAAAGCAGCTGTGCTCTCTCCCGTGGGATACACAGGACTCAACATCCGCTCAACAGCGGCGAGCTTGTCTGTCTGTTCGTCTGTGTTGGTGGTGGAGAAGTTAAGTGCTTGACCCCTCACCAAAAGGCCGGCGAGCTGAACCCCTAATTGTTCCGAGGGGCAAGACAAACAACCAAAGCCCTGGAAACAAACTCCGCGGGACAGTTCTGCTCTCTCTTACAGGGTTGCTGAGC